ACTAATGCTTGCTTTGGAGTAGGCGGAAAAGAGCCGGGAGAAGGGAAAATAAAAAGCGGTGCGCAGTGAAGCAGCGGAGGAAGCCTACTCATTTTTGTGGTACGTTGTTACCACAAAAATGTATATGAGTCTCTTCCTATGCCGTCAAGAAATTTTTGCCGAATGCAAAAAACACTTGTACATTTTGCATGTGTTTTTTTATGTATTCTCCAAGTCTCCAAAAGCATTATATCCTTAACAGGAGTTGCAAAATCAATACTAAGATACTACAACGAATGCGGGGCCTACACTAAAGCAATCGCACACGAAAATGTGAGACAGGGTACATGTAGGAATGCCGTTGGCACGGTGCCAAATGGCAAAATTTGATTCATGCCACTCTCCCACGGGCGTAGTAATGTATACAAATTAATTTTACATGCCCAAACCTGTACACAACCAAAAATCCTGCTCCAAAACTTCAATTCTCTAGTACCAGCAATCTACGAGTTAAATCATTGCAACAGACAGGTAGAGACCCACAAAGATATGGGATAATCCCGTCGTAAGGTACCCTTGCAAAAGTTCTCGTTTGGTGTACAGGTAAGTTTCTGACATAGTAAAATCAACAGGGAAGACTAAGGAGACCAAACAAATGCAGGAAAGAGAAACTCACTTGGTTGAATTCGAGCTGATCGAGCAGTTCAAGTAGTTTCCTGTTCTTTTCAGTCTCTTTCATTTTCACGTAATGTTGCTGAAGACCGTGCAACGTCAGTTTCGCTTCGTCATCCACATAAACTTCCATTGGCTGAAGCAAAACGTTATCATGCATGCGCAAAAACATAAAATGCATAAGCATCGCCCCAAAAATAAACTTCTTTCAAGTACAGCGCGTTTTGATGTTGTTATCACTTCTGGGACTAGCTTTCTCATAGTCTAAAAATAGCATTTTCAACAGTGAGAGCAGACTGTAAGAAAGAAATTTGAACGAAGCTCGAGTCTCATAATTTTTTGTGTTCCCAAAACTTATAAAACTAAAAATAAGCTTTTTTTGATGCATAAATTATCTCGATCTTAAATCTCTACCAAGGAGATTTTTGTCGTTTGTCGGCAACAAAGTCTTTGTCGGCAACTCATTACTATTATGTACCCAGGAAGAAAAAAAACCCAAAATAAACTGAGGTTTAGAACTTATACGTTCGTCCTAAATCATTCCAAAGTATGACATGGTGCCTGTTTAATATAGCTAGGAAAGACACGTGAAAATTTTGATGGGAAAACAATTAACTCGGAAATGGGAAAAGCTGAAGGCTTTAATTTTAAGGGAATGTTTCCTGCTCATGTGTGGCTAAAAGATTTCAAATTTAACTCTTCTGGTGCGGCCTTTTTTGCGGACCAGCAACTTTCCATTTGTCGGGTCACTGAAGTCGACATCTACAACTGACATATCACATAGTTGCACAATTAACTCTCCGAAATTCAAGGGCTAGTATGTCATAGGGTGACATATTAGCCCTCGAATTTCGCCCTCACTTTGTTTTACTGTCAATTGCAGATGGTCCCCCATTTGTTTTCATCTTTTCTACACTGTGTCACACACGCACACATATTTTTTGCAAATAAAATGCATGCAAAGCGCTGGAGGAATGAATGCTTCTCAGTAACTGCTGCTTTCATCATGATACCTAAATTTTAAAAGGAAACTTGAGATCGGCATGTAATAAACAAAAAATTCGCCAAAGCGGGAGACTGTTGCTTCGTGAAAGACCGTAAGGCTTTCCAAAGTGTTCGTGGGAGGATGTGTATCACACCACGAAGTTAGTGCTGCGCCAAAGACTGAGCTGGCACAAAATTACGTCATGGAGCATTGAAACCAGATCGCTTCGGAGGAGTGAATCTCGGAAGGAGTCCTGAAACGGAGTAAACATTCAAGAAATAGTGCTTTTTTTTGGAGGAAAATGAATTTTTTTCATATATTCCGCAAAAAAAAAGACTTCAAAAACTGTTTAATTAATAAAATCAACAGTAAAAAGACAGGAAGGCGAAATTTTCCTTACCTTCCAAAGCATCCACTCCTTCAACCGGTCGAGATGCGTTCAGATAGGCAACATAGCATTTAACGCTTTATGGGCGACACACCAGACGAAGAAAGCCTTCGCAGTGGAAGCAGCAGCGCCACAGCAATCAGACTGCCAGAAGTACAACTTTTCGATCAAAAATCGTTTGTGAGCAGCAGCGGCAGCAGTTTAGCAGCAGCAGCAGCAGCAGCCATCAGCAGCTGGCGTTCCAGTACAAATGTGAGAGGAGCTGTTGCTTGTGCACCAGAAAATCTTACATCTTGCATGAACTTCTTGCACACCACTCGCAAATCCTTCGGCAAAGTAGCGCTGAACATCATCACTTGCTTCTCCTGCGGTGTCATTTTCACTATTTCTTGCACGTCACGTCGCATATCTGCAAAAATTAATTTTCGAAAAGAATGCACTGCCAAGTATATTTTAAAAAAAAAAAATTGGCCAACGCACGGGCTGCCCGTGCGAAGATGCGTTTTTTGCAGAGTTCCC